CCCTTCCCTTCCCTTCCCTTCCCTTCCCTTCCCTTCCCTTCCCTTCCCTTCCCTTCCCTTCCCTTCCCTTTTTTTTCCATGTTTTCTCCCCTTTTTTCTCCCTTCCCCCCTCACTTTTTTTCCCCTTTTCCCCACTTTTCCTTCCTGTGCATTCCATCAGGAATTTCCATTGCCACACCACTCCCCCATGGAGATGGAGCCGAGAATATTGGCTGGAATTTCATTGCCCTCTCCTTAATCCCATCCCAGCCTGGATTGCAGCAGGGAGTGAAGTTTGGGAATTTTTTATCCAAAGGAAAGTGAATATTTTAATATTTTAATATTTTTCCAGTGCTATTCACAAGGAGATAAATCAATATAAATCAACAATGTAATTAGTTCATAATTAAAAATCCTTTGCCCCCAAGGGCTACATTTGTATTTATTAATTCCTTGTGAAGCTATTAATTAATTAATCCATGTACATCTCTATGAAATGAAATATTTTTACCTTTCCAACAATTTCCTCTAACAGCAAATTTTTTTAAAAAAATTTTGTTGCCAAAATTGCCCCTGATTTTAAACCTGAATTTCCTCCTAAAAAATCTGCAGGGTTTTTTTTTCCCCGGAATTGATCCCAGGATTAATTCTTCTCAGCTGGCTAATTCCATTTTCCATGTTTTGTTTTTTTTTTTTTACTCAGGGATTAATCCCCCCTTAGGATCCCTGTTTTTCCCTCCACTGTGGATAAAAGAACTCCTAACGACTTCTTCGGGAACTGGCGGTTTGAGCTCAATTCCCAGTTTTATTTAACACAGAAATTCCTGGAATTCCCCAAAGTTCCTTACGCAGCTCTGTCCACCTCTTCTTTAAAACAAAGTGGCAAAAGTAACTTGCCTGTATCCTATAAAATCTCATAAAATCCCATAAAATCCCATAAAATCCCATAAAATCCCATAAAATCCCATCTATCCCGGGAACTGCTGTGGGATAACGGGGTGCTGGAATTTTCCAAGGAGCTGCCCTGTGGATCTGGGACCTCCAGGCTGGTTCTTCCTCCATTCCCTCTCCTTCTGCTGACTCCAGCAAGCCCCAATTCCCTGGAGGAGCCTCAGTTCTGACACAGATAATCCATAAATTATCCCAAAACCTCGGGAAGATGGGAAGAGTCTGGAGCCAGGGCAGCACAGCCAAGGAAAACAGTTCCCAAAGATCCCAAAAATGCTTCTCCAGCCTGTCCCCGCTGCCACCAGCAGGGCCAGATTGGCTCTGGATGGGCTGGGAATTGTTGCTGGAGGGGAACGTGCTCAGCCCATCCCAACTTTCCCTGGATAAACACAGCACAGATCCTTTTCCCTGGGACTTCCCACAAATCCCTCCAGGAGAAAAAGGAACAGCAAACAACAGCGATAAAGAAGGAAAAGCCTGTGGGGATGTGGCCAGATGGAGGAGCACGGAGTGTCCCCAAGGCTGGAAAATATTCTCCTTTTATCCAACATTCATCATCACAGATCTTCCACCTCATGGTGGGTATCCCGTGGTTAATTCCCAACTCTCCCAACAAATCTTCCATTCCCTCACTCTTTTCTCCCTCAACCTGGAACTCATCACCTCAGTTCTGCCCTCATGGTGGATATTCCACAGTTAATTCCCAACTCTCCCAGAATCTCTCCAAACTTCCATTTCCAAGCTCTTTTCTCCTTTTATCCAACATTTATCACCACAGATCTTCCACCGTATGGTGCGTATCCCATGGTTAATTTTTGCAATCCCATTTTACCTCTGGGCTTCTTTTTAATCAATAAATCCCAA